ATTAAGAGAATTACTATTCCTACTTCAAATTTAAATTTACTTATACCAAAGTTTGTTATAATTATTTAACTATTTCTTCATTCTTTTCATTTGACTTTTAAAATCTTTCCAACTATCCTTGTTTTTCTTTAAGATTAACTAAAAATTCACTTTCTATTTAATACAATTTCATTTTTACTTTATTATTCAAGTTCTTTTACTTTTATTCTTAATACTTCCTTTTCATTTTTTAAATCTTATATTATTTATATCTATTCTTCATCCTTTTATTTAAGTTCAATTATTGTTTATTAGTTCTATAAGTTGGTCTTTTCACTTTCTGTTAGTTGATTTTACAATTATAACTTATCTTACTGATTCTATTTGAGTTCAGCCTCAACTTTATCAAAATTTGTTAGTTTCTTCATTATTGAAAAATCCTTTTCAATCTTAGACACGTATTGATTAAACTAATTTTTAGTAATAGAGCTATACTTGTTACAATTATAAATCTTTAAATTCTATTGATAAGTTACTTATTGTTTTCATAAGAAATTCATACTAGTTTTATGCTTCATTCAAAATATCTTAATATATTTATAAATGATGAAGTTATAAATTTAATTACTAAATTGATTATTGATTAGAAATGTGATTTTCCTCTTGAAAAATTTCACTTTTTTAACCCTTGATTTCAGCAATATAGGAATTTTATTCATTGATAATTTTATCAATCTTGTTGTGTGCAAATATATCATTTTATAATAATTTTTGAAAATTAGTTGAAATTATTTCCATTTAATTAAAGTCTTCCTTTTATATATTAAATTGTTTCTCTGTTAAAGCTTAAAATTTATCTGTCTAGCTTAATATTTCAGATAACTCATTAATTTATTCAGCATTCATTTAATAAATCATGTTTTCATTAAATTCATTAGACTCATGTTGAGAAAACATTGAATATTGAGTGTTTACCCTATTGATAATGTCTGAAATTGAAGAATTGTACTTTTCTTTAATTTCTTCAAGAGTTTCAATTATTTATCTTTATTTAAAACATCTTAAGTCCTTAAATTGTTTAATTTGATCATTAGTTTATCCCAAATATTCATTCCACTTAAAATTCGCATCACTTAAAGTTGTATATTTAATTGGATCATTTGATTATATACATTCGACACAAGCCTATCTTGAAAGTTTAGTTTTTTCAGGATTTAAGTTTAACATGATAATTTCTTTTCCATGTTTATTACATTAAATATTCAAGCTTGGTGTTTTCTATTAATGTATAATATAATAATAATTACTAATGGATTTTCCTCCTTTTTTGAGAGAGATTAGATTTGCTTTATTTCTTTATGGTCTTCTTCCACCTTTGTGCTTTCTAAAGATTCGTTGATTTAGTTGAAAATAGGACATTTAATTATAGATTCCAATTACTATTATACTGAATCTATATAAGAATTATTATCCATTGATTTCTCAAATTCTTTAGGAACTTCAAAACTAAATGATCCTTTGTAATTTTTTGATAAAACTTTAATATCTTCCTCAAAAGAAGTAATTTAGGTTTTTGATTCCGATTCTTCTAGCTCTTTCTCCATAAGAGTTATTTTTTAATCTAAGTTACACTAAACTTTATCTAAGGTGTTGTTGATTGAAAATCTCAATTCTTTTACTTAGGTTTGAATTTATCTAAAGTTTTCGATCTTTCTTTAATACTCTTTGATTTTACTGTTCAATTACTCACTTTTCATTTGCTTAATCATTATTTTTGTCTCTTCAACCAAAGCCATGTTTTAAATATCAATTTTCTCCATTAGACACTTGATGCAAAGATACTTATCCTCATCAGCAGTAGATTATTTTAAATCTATTGTCAAAATCTCTAATTTGTGCTTTTAGCATAATTTCTTATCCAATTCAGATTACATGAATATATTTTATTATAATAAGATATTCAATTTTTAAATCCTTTATATATTAAAATATTTATGATTCTATAAAAATAATTCAAAAATCAGCTCATTTTGATGCCCTATTAAATTAAAAGGCATAGATAACTTATTGTAAACTAAAATTATTCCTAAAAATTTCTATACAGGAGTATTTATTGAATATTAAAGATATTCTAACTTAAAATTGGTTAATTATGACTAGAAAAGTGCAAAGTAAATATCTCAGATAGTCAAGAATGTTATAAAACCACAGAAATTAAAAACAATCATTATTATAATTATTTAACTATTTCTTCATTCTTTTCATTTGACTTTTAAAATCTTTCCAACTATCCTTGTTTTTCTTTAAGATTAACTAAAAATTCACTTTCTATTTAATACAATTTCATTTTTACTTTATTATTCAAGTTCTTTTACTTTTATTCTTAATTATAATTAATCTATTTCTATAAGCTATTATGATAAAATTATTTATTTTTATAATTAAATTTACAATTGTTAATTTTCAATTATTAATTTAAAAAAATTCATAAAAAATCAAAATCTAATGCAGTTGAATGAGATTTTGTACTAATAATAATTATTAATAAGAAGATTTACAAAATCTTAATCCAAATAGTTTAATTATCATTTGATAACACTAAATTTAAAAGGCTTCATTTTTAAAAAGTATGTCAAATAAACTTTTTTTTTTAGCAGTCAACAATTAATTTGAAAGTTTACACTTTAGTAAAAAACAAATTTTAATTCTTAAAGGATTGTTTTTGAATCAATATCTACTGTTAAACTTTTAGGTCTATTTGTTTTCCAGAAAATTTTAGATATGTTTAAAAACTGGCTAATTTGAATTTTTATTTATATGAATACCACTTTTGCAACAATCGCTTAGGATCATAAAATATTTTCATTCTAATTTAGAATGCTAATAAAATTTTCACTCTTTTCTATAAAAATAATATTTATCTTTCTTTTGTTTTATATATCATCTTAATTCATATCATATCTATAGGCTATGATTATTCAAATTAAAACTTCTAGTATACTCAAAAAATACTCTAAATTTCTGTTATTTTGATAAAGGAATTGCTATAAGTATTAATAAAGCTAAATTGGACATATAAATTTTAATTTTTTTTGTTTAAGCTTATTCTTTATCCTATATACCCATTTATTATTTTGGTTCAATTACAAGTTTAACTTCAAATTGATAAAATTCATTCGAAATTGGAAGAGATTAGACTTAAGTTGATAGGATCACATTTAGAATGTTTGATATTTTAAGATTGAATTTGAATTGATAAATTGAAAAAAAATAATATTCATAAAGTTTTATTAACAAAAAAATGTTCTCTTAGAATCCACTAAAGCATACGCATATAGTTTAGAAACTACTTAGACTTTCAGAGACATTATTAATTGCCTTCAAGTGGAAATTTACAGGTTCTTCATCTTGGCAAGAAGGAGTAACAGGGTTGGGTTTCTAGCTCTGTGTATCCTTTATTTTCTAGAAAATGATACTTAATCTAGGATATTCTTTTTACACACCATCGAAATTTAATTAATAAATGACGTAAGGGAGTTTTAGTTCATTTATTGTTTTATGAATTTAATAATTAGGTACCCGAAATAGGATCTGGATTCCTTAAAGATTTGAAGAAGATTTAATTACTTGTCTTAGAGCTCATCATTCATATTTATTCTATTTAATTTATGAAGGTTTCATAATTCAATAAACCTATACAAGAAATCTTCAAATTTGTAACTATCAGTTGTTATATTTGCAGATTCACAATAAAAATGAGATCTATATTCTATAAGTCAACTTAATAAGAGTTGTCATGTTAGCAATCCATCTTATTTGAGAATATAATGTTTCCTTTAAGAATGAAATTAGATTCTGGTTTTATTCTTTCAATACAGACCATATAGTCTTCTATAAGTATTCCATATTCTCTTTTTGAATGACAGCGCTTTAATTAACAATTAGTGTAAAGACCAGGAATACCTTGTAAGATTTACAATTGTTTATGCAATAAGTAGGCTTCTGAAATTAAATCACATATCATTATAGATCGATTTGATGAATTTCTACATTGAATATTATAAGGATAGTAGATAAGTTATTTATTATTTAATGGATAATATCCGTCGAAACAACTTGTATATCCTAATAATTTTTTTAGAAATTACTGCATTGGCTATGGCCAATTTAGATATAGGAGATAACTCTAATTAAATTATCACATTCATTTGGTTATTCATTTACTAATTCATCCATAAAATATGAATAACAGTTAATATTTAATATAATAATTGAGTCAGTTTATATTCATAAGCGATATTAAACCTGAAAATATTCATATTTCTTCTTATACACTCTAAATGCTATTTCAGATTCATGTTTATCATATTATAAGCAAATAATTTCTATTAGAGCTTACTTTTAATCCAAAAAATGCCGAATAATTTAACTAGCAATCAACAAATAATTAATCTGTAGAACTGTAATCAAGATTAATAAAACACTACATAAGAATGGATATAAATAGACAGCATCCAAAAAGAATGTAGATCCTTTTAGTATTTGTGATATTTTTCATGTATGGATTTCTCTTACAAATTTAAGAAACAAATTCTTAGTTTGATTTATTTCAAGATATTTCTGGTTTTCTAACTCCAAAAGATCGGTAGAATAATTAGTTTAGATCCTAATCAGATTTTGATTTTTTTCAAATATCTCAATATTAACTCGAGCCTTCATGACGGAATTTATATTATTTTAATAATGTTTTATTTGCAAGACAAACTTGTAATAGAAACTATCAGATACAAAATTGATATATTTTTGCTAAATTAGTCGATAAACAAAAAAAATATTAAAAAATTTACCCTTTTTTTTTTTTGATCATTGTATATCATTTAGTTCCCTTTTTTATAAACTAATATACATGCAGTATTCATTTATAATTATCATTTTAATATGCCTTCCATTTTTCTTTTTTTTATATATCTCACTCTCTTAAGAAGCGATAATATTTTTATACTGCCTTTTTTAATTATAAAATGAATGAAGTTAAATATTATTTATTATTAAAATATTTAAAATAAAAATTAAGGGCTTCTAAGGTTCAGGTCTTTGAAAAAATAAGACCCGATTATGCTCGAACTCTAGCCTTAAAAAGGTCGCAAAGACTACCAGGTCTGGTTCCCATGGACGAAGGAGCCAGAATAGTTTTCCCAGGGTTTGGGNTTTAAAAGTCTTAACTCTACCAAAAAGATATCAAAATTGAATTAATTATTGAAAGTGATGAAATTATCTTAGAAGAAACAACCTTTTATTTGAAACTCACAAATATTGTCGAATATACTATTGCTAATGAGCAAGAATTAGTGAAGGAATATCAAAGTATCCCTAAAATTTTGACATCCAAACCCTTTAAATTTGATGATGAAACATTCCCAAATGGATTGTTTGATGTATAAAAATGCATTTAATGTTCTCTTAACTATAAAGATTAAGGTAGATCATTATTTTTTTCTGGAAGTATATATGATCAACAATTTATTTGCAGAGTAATAAATTAATAAATATATATTAGATTACTTTAGATGAAGAAAAATAAGCCTAAGTGAATATTAAGCAGCTATAATAAGATGAAGAATTATGTAAAAGATTAGTGCTATCCTATATTGAAGCATTAAACAAAATTTGATTTATTAAATAGGTATAAAATTATAATAATCAATTTCTTTTTTTATTAATCCATCCAGGAGAATTGTTGATATTATAATTATAAGTTATGTTGTTATACACAATATTTAAATTCCTATCCTAATCTTCCAAAGTATTCCTACATTCTCCAATATTATAATTGTATTACTATTACATTTGTTATTTTTAGCCTTTTTGAATATTCAGAAGTTCTTTTGATTAATAAACTTCCTATTCATCTCCTGAATATTCATCAGTAGGATAAAAGTTTTACCTGAGTTAAGTAGATTTCTTTTTAACTTAATAAACAGGAATTTATTATTAAAATTATTATTATTATTATTATTATTATTATTATTATTATTATTATTATTATAGTAAATTTATAAATATATATGAATGAAACCAAAAATAATTTATTATTAGTAAAGTGAATTAAAGGGAAATTCAAACCAAAAAGAAAATTAAATTTTAATGTGTTATCTTTAATATATGAGGAAAAATCTTAATTGATATTGAAAGCGAATAAAATCATTTTCTTAATTATTTAGTGTTATAGGTTAAATAGTCATTTTATTTTAATCCAGATGTAAGCAAAACTATTCTAAACTGAATAATAGAACTTAAATAGTATCATGATTAGATTGATGATAATCAACAGGCTAATTTTATGGATATTAAGGATTTGCTATTAAAACTGATGAAGATAAAAATCTAAATTAAACACTAATAAAACCTTTATTTATTTATTCAGCATAATTTAAATAAATTATAAAAAACTAAATTTTTAGTGCACTAATTTAATATCAATTACAATCTATGATTAACTTTTTTCAGAAATTTTAAACTCAAATCAGTATTATAAAAAATATGAATTTTAATCGTATTAAATTAAATAACTAAATATTGTTTATATATAATATTAAAATCTTGAAAAGATGGTTTCATTTACTTTGATTGTGGAATATTTTAATTGGTAATACTTACCTTACCTTACCCTATTGATTATTGAATATATTCTAAAACCATTTTATTTTAATTTAAATTTTTAAGGGTGTTTATAAAATTAAACCTAGGATCAAGAATTCATATAAATTGTCCCAGAATTGATAGAAATGTCATTTTAATAAATACCACTTAAAACAGATCATTTTTCTACAAATTAAAGAATGAATATCCTAAGAAACAATAGTTTTAATTAACTGTCATTTGTGTCCGTTAAATATATAAACAATTATTTTATTAATAATGTGGATCTGTAAATAAAAATAGTTGATTGTACAATTTGTTTAGAATAAATGACTTATTATCAATTAGAGATTGTTTCGTTACAATGTTATTATACTCACATTTTTCATGAGGATTGTATAAGAGATTGGTTATCAGAAAATAAAAATTGTCCACTTTGTAATACAAAATTTATGATTTAGTGAATCATAATTATTTTTATTTCAACATTTTTTACTTTTTAACTAATATATATTTTAAAATATAATCAAAAAATTTTAATAGTTGAGAAGATCTTAATTTTCATCATAAATTTTTGGGCCGTGACACCATAAACAACAATGAAGATCTCATTATATTTTGTGGGGATGAAAAGTATAAATTTTGGATGAATCATAATATTTGGCAATATAAATTAACATAAAAAGAATTAGGAATTTAATGAATAGAAACTAAAGAAATTAGAGTTTCAAATGGAGATGGTAAAACTAATCCAATTTTAGATATATTAAGATAAACTAAACTAATAAATTTTATTCAGATAATATATATATCCATTATTTTTTATTATTTTAATAATTGATATTTAACTATTATTTATTTATCCTATACGTTAAAGTATATAAATTAAATTTTACTAAAATTTAATTGGTTTAATAGATGATTTATCAAATTAAAAATAAAATGGATTAGATGGTTATTAAATAATTAGGATAATTAAATAAAGGGTTTTACTGATTTCTAAATAAAAGTCGAATGAAAGAAAATGTTGTGTGAAAATTGAAATTCATTTTTCTAAAATTTTCTACTTTAAAAATGTAGAAAAAAAGAAAACTAAATTGAATAAGAAATTCTATCTTATCTTATTCTGATCTTTATGTAACATTTATTGAATTCTACTAAAAGAAATACTCATATTCATTATTTAAAAAAATAATAATAAGATGATGAAATAATTAAATTCTTATGGTAAATATTATATGTTTGAAAGTTGAGTTTTAATTTTGAATAATGAATTGGTATGTGAGAAAACGATTTATAATATGATACTTATATTTAATAAAACTCATTATTAAATATCTTATTACACCTAATTTGGCACAATAAAAGGATTATAATTAACTCGTAACATGGAGCTAAAAGCATCTTTCTAATTCAAATAATTGGTCACTTAGATCTATTAATTCAAAAAAATAATCTTAATATTTCAAAATGTGTTTATTATTTATTAGAACCAATTTTAATATACCTTAATAAGCTATACCTATGAATATAACAATCTTATTAGGGTTTGAATTTATTATATATTTCTATTAGTTTTTTCTCTTAAATCATAAATTTAGATTAAACTAACTCTTATTATTTTAAATTATTATATCATTAATAGTAATCATTTTTAAATTATTATTATTAAGCCACCATTTTCTTTCTTTATAATGCAATGTCTTAAGTTTTTTATTAAAATATAATCATTCGGAATATTTATCTTGCCATAGATATCAATATAATAGTACTTACATTCTTTTTTGTTTAATTATGTTATTCTTTCTTAGTTTTCTCCCAGTTTGATAATTTGAATTCATTAATATTTATATTTGGTTAATTTAATGATAAAATATATATTAATTTGCATTTAAATTTGATTCTTCAGCAGATCAAATATAATAATTATTAATTAACAATCTAACTTAAATGTATAATTCTAAGCTGAATGATTTTAAAAAAAAGCAGTTTAAGCACAAAAACAACAAAGTAGGGACAACCTATAATCGTTTGTTATGATAGTAAGGAAAAATTGCCTATAGAATTAAAATAAGTATAATATACTGTTTATATCTAACCTGGTTTAGCAATAGAGTATATATGTTAAATCTATTCAACTGAATAAAACAAAGATCAATGTGAATTAGAATACTTGTTTACAATAGATTAAAATTCAGCTGATACTAAGATGATAGTTGAACTTGGAGATTAAAAAGTTTATGGAATTAAAAGAATTAAAAGAGGCAAAAAATGAATATAAAAAGGGAATATAAGTAGGAAAGACAATGGTGTTAAGCTAAGAAGATTCAAAAATATCAAATACCAAAAAAGTTAATATTGGTTGTTTGAGTCCTGGTACATAATTAAAGATTTAATTTGAATGCATCCAACAATTTTAAGTATTTCTGAATTAATTTTGGAAGTTAGAATTGTCTTCTATGATAGATACAAGTTATCTTAAAGTTTATGAATTAAAGTAAACATCTACAAATTATGCTTAATAATATTTTTTTAGTGAAAATACATGTCAACATATAAGCAATAAAATTAAATTATAAGTAAAATATTACTGTAATAATTAATATGGAAAACCAATTACATATGCTAAATCTCCAACAAGCTCAATTGTACTAAATTCTGATATTAATGTCAAAGAAAAATAAATTGATTTATAAACTCCTTTCAACTACATAATTATTACTTTAAATATGATTGATCCTGAAAATATGGCACCAAATAAAAAGTTTGAATTATTATTTTCCTCAATGATGTTAATAACCCTTATGCAATACTCAGCCATACAAATAATGATGCTTTATAACATTTCAAATATTGTACTACTCTAACCCTCATTCCAAAATTTAATGAATTTCCAATAGACGATGCCTATCAATCATATATAAATGGTTTAAATTTATCTTCATAGGCAATAATCTAAAATGGTTGTTATATATTTTTTATTGATCGTAGTTGTTCAATGAGCGGCATAAGGATTCAAAAAGCCAAGCAATCACTGATACTGTTTCTGAAGAGCCTTCCTGAAGATTTTTCTTTTAACATAATTATATTTGGTAGCAATGTATAAAAGATGTTCGATATTGCACAAGCATATAATTAACTAACACTAAATTAGGCAATAAAGTAAGTTCAAGAAATGGATGCATATTTTTGGGGAACTAATATTTTAGAAGCATTGGTCTAAGGCATTTATGATGAAAAATATTAAAAAACCAAATGTAGTCCAGAAACTCTACTAACAGATGCTCCTGAAGATATCATTAAATTGGTATCTAAAAATCAAAGACCTGAAACTAGAATTTATACATTAGAAATTGGGAATAATTATAGTGAGTATTTAGTCTAAAGATTAGCTGATGTTGGAAATGGAAAATGTTAATTAGTAGGAAATAATGAGAATATTAATTCTAAAGTTATAGATTTGTTAGAGGATTCCCTAACTTATTATTTAAAGGGATTTTCATTGATACATAATATTGACAAAGTTTCATAGATTATTCCTGATCCAAAATCAATAACTTAATTAAAGAAAAATCAAGAATTAACTTTATAAATTTTATTTTCAAAAAAACAGAAAAAAGAAAATTTAGAATTCAAAATTAATTGTTTTGATCCATAAATGAATAAATAAATTTAATATAAAGTTAAAATGAATCTTAATAGTTCCAAAGAGAATGAATATTTTCATAAAATAGCTGCTCATAAACTAGCTGCTCATAAACTAATAAGGTATTATGAAAAATCAATTTCCTATTAAGCTAAATAAATGGATACTGTTATGATCAATGAAAAATGAATTAAAGAATTGGATATTATTAATTTATCATTTTAGAATCAAATACTATGTTCTAAAACAGCAATTATTTGTGAAGTATGCTAAAACGAATAAAATCTTTAGCACTGTTAAAGAAAAAGCTAAATATTAACAAATGTTAAGAGGAAAATGATGAGCAATAGGAAGATGAAGTAATTCAAAAAAAAAAGAATTAAAATGTAAGTTAAATCAGCTAAAAATTGTATAAAAACCTCTAATATGATGCATTTATTGCAAGAACCATAAATCCTGATGTGTTGCATTTAGTAAGAATCTATTTTAAAATCAAAATGTCAAAAAATATCAGAAGAAAAGATTCGAAAAACTCTTCAGTTCATCTAAATTCTTAAAATAGGATTTACAACTGCCCAAAAAATTTCTTCCTAAATAAAACATCCTATGTGCTCAAAAGCCAAAAATAATCTAAGAGGATTAACAAATCTTAGCATATTTTGAATTAATTGACTGCATGTAAGCAAATGGTAGTTTCCTCTTAGAAACACATATTGAAGATTCACTAAAGTTAATCATATAGATAATCAATATCATTTAGAAGATCTATGTTGGCCAAAAGTTGTTTTTCTTTTTATTTGGTTTTTTTTGTCAGGATTCTAAGAGTTCCTGGTAATTATTTTTATAATAAAGCCATAAATTATTTTAAAAAGAAAGGAGTTAATTATTTTTAGATTAAAACAGAATCCATTTCAGATTATAGAAAACTTTTTTAGAATTGAAAAAATTGATTATATAAAATTAACTACTTTTTAAAATATATAAATTAATTAATTTCATTTCATCTTCTTATTATTTCTTAATCTATTATTCAATTTAGCTGGTGACAACATTTTTTAATATAATTGAATCAAATAGATTAAATGTAATTATCATTAAAAAATTCAATTTGTTTTGATCTAAATTTATTGAATAAAACAAACTTTAAAATTTATTGATTGCATTAATATATTTTAAAAATTTTATAAGGATCTTAAGTAGTAAATGAGTATATATTTTCTTCATTATTCTTAATTATTAAATACACTATTTTTTAAATCTCACTTTTGTAAGGAGTGTATATTATTAAATCGGTTGCTTTAAGGCGATTAAAATAAAACTAATAATAATTTTAGATGAATTCATATTTAATCATATTCTAAATTTAAAATGGCCCATTTTTATTAGAGAAATATTTTGGATAAACAAATAGGTTTAAGGATTAAGTTGCTAATATTTTCGTAGTATTCTACCTAATTATATTAAGTAAATTGATTATAGATATAGTATTATAACTTTTTATGAATGAGTGAAGATGTAATTTACATAATTAATTAATTAAATATGGGAAGATGATAAAAGTAAGCTTAAATTTGAAAATTTAGTCAAAATCAAATTCTTCATCCTACCCAAATTTATTATTGAGGATATAATCATAAACATCATAATGCTGTTTTATTTATGATCTATTCAATAACTTATAAATATTTGAAATTTTAAAGATATGAATTTATTTTTTGTTATTTTTTACTCTTCGGATGGATTATAATTATATGATGATATATTAAAATAAAGTGTGGTGAAAATAAATAATTCATATTATCAATCGATAGCTGAAATCAATTGGCTATCTTACAAATGGGAATCCTACTTCATATACTTTATATAACTAATTTTATATTCCATCATTCATATAAATACTTAATCTGATAAACTTAGATATTCTTATAATTCAAAAAAGGAGTGAATCAAAGTGGAAATCAAAATTATTTGGATCAATAAATATAAAATCATTATATATCTTACCCATATGATTAATTCATTTAGAGATTATTCTATATTAATAATCAACTACTTATTCTTAATTGATGAATTAAAAATTTCCTTAGTTTTTTATAAATTAATCTTGAAATATAATTTAAAATTTTTGCATTCTACTCTTAATTTTGTGAATTTATTAAAAACTAAAATTATTTTAAGAATCATATTATTTTGAAGATCAATATAAATAGAAACTCATAACTCAAGCAAAAACTACTTCATCATTAACCTTTTAAAATATTCACTTTATATCAAAATTGATTCAAAATAAATTTTGAAAACTCAATTTCAAAAATAAATCTTTTCATATGTTTATTTTATTTATGATTTCTTTTATACATAATCAATTTTATAATCTTTTTAAAAGTATATTATAGATTTAGAATCATATAAAATAGACAAAATAATAATTTCAAATGATAAAGTTTGATTTATATTCATTAATTTTCATTTTATTTTTATCTTTGAATCATGAAATTAAACATATACGTGAACATAATGAACTAGGATTTGATAAAATTTAAACTTTTTAAATTTTATTTCCCTATTGTTGCTATTAAACCTAATTTTATTATTTATTATTCATTTCAACAACTTCAACGAATATCTATCTAAGTTTTTTATCAGAATTTTCTATTATAGATGATGATTAATCGTTTAAATACTTTAAAATAATTAATGCATCATTAGTCCCATTTTTCCAATATTCATTTTATTCATCCTTTTGATTTTCTATTTTGTTTAACTTAACTAAAAATTAATTGAATTACTAATTATTTTATTAAAGGGTTTCTTATTATTACTACTTTGCAAGATCAATTGCTGTTATTTTTACTTTAATTTCTAATTCTGAAGGGCTAATTAAATTATAACATTTTCAGATATTAGTTAATTTTTTAAGCCTAAACTTAAATTTATTTTCCTTTTTTGATTCATTTGCATAATCAAGTGCATCATGTATAATATTAAATGCTTCTCCACCTACTGGTATAAATCCGTAACCTTTCATCCAATATTAAAAACCTTTTGTACTATATCTAGTACTTTTTTAGAATTGCTTTGAATCATAGCATCTCTATTCATTTAATATTATTCTGAAGAAATTTTCAATGCTTTTTAATAAATAAATTGAGTTTTATTTTCTGCTTTTTAAAGAAATTTCAAAGATACTTATGTTTGAAAGCTATCCTATTCTTCAACTATTTATTATCATCTTCTAAATTACTTATAATTTCATTTTATTAATTTACAATTTCTTATAATATAACTAATTATTATCTAATCTATTTCATATCTTCTTTAATCAATTATAATGGATCTAACTCTTCTTGCTTTTCTTATGGCTATTTTAAATCTGTCCTTGCCATTAATTAAACTGTTAGTTTTCTTTCTAATATAGTGAATTTATCCTTCACATCATTTAATGTTTGGTTCTTTTATTCAAATTGAGTTTGTAATTTTTAAATATCTTATCTTAAAAATTTATTTCATCTTAAATTTCTTTTTAAAAAAGTTACTTTTTTTTAAATGAATTATATATTCTTTTCTGACAAATTCCATTTTTTCCTCTTCTACTGAGTGATTTAGTCTAATTATGCAAGGGCTTGTGTATAATACTTCAATGATTGATTATAATTTGGCCGAAAATAATGATCATCTAAATTCACCATTATAAGGGGATTGTCTGATTCTAATTTAAGTGCTTAAATACAATCTTAAAAGGCCTTGTCATATTAGCCATTTTCTTTATATAAATTTCCTTATTTAAATTATAATTAAAATAACTTCTATTGTTAGAAGCTTTAGTATCATTTGAGTTCAATTCAATTGCTTTAGTATAATCAATTAATGCTAAATTAAATTTCCTCATACTTCTATAAAACAATCATATTTAGTTCAACATCTTGATTACTTCTGTTGAAATAATTAATAGCTTCTTAGGATCCAATTAAATAGCTTTGTCATGATCTATTATGGCTTAATATTTATATCCTAAGCTTAAATGCAATAATCCTATAATAACCTACAACCTAAATTAAGCAATTTTAGGATCTAATTAAATTGCTTTGTTATAATCTTCAAGAGCCTCCATTTTTTTTCCAGTATTTTAATAGAGCATTCCTATATATACTAATACTCTATTACCTCTGTTATTATAAGTATAAGCATCATTAGAATCTAATTCAATTGATTTGTTATAATTTATAAGTACTATGTTTGTGTTTCCGATTGTACAAATTTTAACACCTCTATTATTATATGCTTTAATTATTGGAATTTAATTCAATCGCTTTATCATAATCTACGAGTACATATTGTTCATTATCTATGTCTTAATGAAGATTTCCTATAAAAAATAATATGTTGATTACCTCTATAGAAATAAATATCAAAACAATTAGGATCTAATTCTATTGCCGTGTTAAAGTCTATAAGCACCTATTTAGTACTTCCAATTTTAGTAAATAGAAGTCCTATTTAACTTAATAATGTAATAAACCTCGTTTATTATAAATACAAGCATCATAAGGGTCTAATTCAATAGCCTTGTTAAAATCTAAAAGCGCCTCCTCTTAATTTCCTATTTTATCTAAAAAAATTCCTATTTAATTAAATAACCTGAGAACCTCTGCTCATGTATGCAAATGCATATTATGTATCCAACTCAATAGCCTTATTATAATCTAAGAGTGCCTAATCTTTATTTCCTTAGTTTTTATATAAATTTCCTATTCATTAAAATGATATGATACCTCTGTTACAATATGCCAAAATACATTTATTATCAATTTCAATCACTTAATTATAATATTATAATTCATCATCTTTATTTTCAATTGCATTCTTCACACATCTTAATTATAGTGAATACTCTTAACCTATTCTCATGTAAGCCAATGAGTATTTAGGACTAATTTGAATGCATATTTCACAATCTTTTAAAGCTTCCATAAATAAATTTTTATTAAAAATCCCATGGCTAAATTTATTAATATACCTTACCTCTATGATAAAACTTTTCTTCATTTGAGGCTCCTAATTCAATAGCTTTATTGATGTCTTCAACTTGCTGATCATACATCTTTTTATTTAAATATAATTCTGCTAATTATTTATGATTAAAAGAAACCTCTCAATGCTAAAGCCTTAGAATCTTAAGAATTAAGCTTCAAAGCATCATTTATCAATTTTATTTTCTCTAAGCTTTAACTAATTAGCAAATCTAATTATATATTTACAAAACAAGCTTCAGATAATTCTTCTGCTAATTATTAGTTCTCTTTATTTTCTTATTCTTTTCTTCATTATGGATTTGAATCATTTTACATTTTTATGAAAAAATGAATAATATTTTAGATAACATTATAGTTTTTACTTGTTTAAAATTTTGCTCCAACTAAAATTTCTTTAATAATAATATTCTTTAAAAAAAAGTTTTTAATCCATTAATATTCAAGATTATTTTAATGATTTAAAGGGCTTCTTAACATTTTAGAGAATTGAACTATGAACTATTTGTCATCAATATTTACAACTTACATATATAATTTCTTTGTTTTCAACAATAATATCAATAGATAATTTGAAAAATACAACTATTTAATCAGATTTATTAATTAAAAATTAAAATTTATAAAAAATTAATAATTTTCTTTTATAATAAAAATTCTATTAAGTAAATGAGAATAAGGATTACCAGAATATACTTTCAAATTCAAATATTCTGTTAATAATCTAAAACAAATTTAAATTTCCTCTAAATTCAACTTATCACATTATTAATTCTATAATTATCTAACAGCAAAAGATATACACCATTAACAGCAATCCTATCAATTTAATGCAAGAATAGCATTATATTTTTATATAATTTAACTTTTAATATAAAAAGCTACCTTATCTAATTTAAACTCAAGTAACCATTATGTAAATTTAGTTTTAAATAAATAGATTTATTTTTAATTATTTTACAATCATAGGTTTAAGACTAATGAGATTCTGATGATAGTACTTTATAAATCTTAATAAAAATCTTCATTTTGATATCTTAAATTTTACTATTTCAAATAAATGAAGATTTATTTTTTTCAAATTATATGCTATATTTAAATATTCTATTATACTACATTTTATAATAATTATTCATTAAATCTATTTCCTATTTAAAATTATATTCTTATGGCTTAAAAGAATTTTTTTAATTTCCTATTAATCTATCAATTTGAAATTAATTAAGAATCTTATAAAACAAAGAGTCATTTTAATTAAATAAATAATATAGAATATGGTTAAGTTATTATAAATATAAAAAAAGAGTACACAATTTTCCACTTAGAAAATAGATATTCAATACTTTAGTTTATTGATTTGTTATTTATAACTTCTCTACTAATAATTTTAACAAAATTATAAACTAATTAACAGTTTGTACGAATATTTTATTATAAAATTTTAATCAATTTATTGATTCAATTAATAAAATATTATTCTGTCAAATATATAAAGTCTAGGTTAGTTTTCTGATTATTAATAATTAAAAAATTCACTTCAAACTGAAAAAATCAACTATGGATTGAATAAACAAAAAATACCCCTTAATGAATTTACTATTAGAACTAATTTTAATATCAAAATATTTTTTTTTTTTCCAAATAAATCTCATCTTTTTTAGAAAAGTATCCAGTATCTTCTTTTGCCGAACTAAATACCTTCTGGAACTATAATTTTTCCAAGTCTAATGATAAAGGTATTTAGATGTTTAAAGTGCTTAATTGGCTCGCTGAGGCCAACAGTAAGTTTTATTTTATAGAAAAGAGTCTACCTATTTAAGATATCTTAATATTTTTACAATTAAGTAAACTAAAATAAGAATTTCGGCTTGTAATTTGTAAGCTCTACTCACTCAATTCATGTAGAAGAGGAAACTGATCGAGTTTTATTTTCGTTCTGAGGAATATCTTTATTTTTAAGTTCCGATCACCCTTTTACTAAAGTTATTAGGACTTACAAGATTTAAATTTGTATGTTATGGATAGGAGAAAAATATTTTAGAAAATAACAAATTTTAAATCTTTTCTAGAAAAGAAAAAATATCCTAGAGAAAATAATAAACAAATGTTTTGATAAATTCTGATATTTTTGATTTGAAAAGTAGGTAATTTTTAATTAATATTATAATTGGTAAGTTCTTTTCCTTGAAAAAAATATTTGTTTGTTTTCTTTTTATCTTATCCATGCTTTAAATTCTCCTAATAAATCCAGAATTCTTTAAACCATCAAAATAAGTTTTTTTAAATTGAATTTTGAAATCTTTGAGTCATATTAGATGACCAAAACTACACAAGTAAGCAGTTTAACCTAATATAACAAAATAATTAAAGAAATCTCTAAAAATTTCCTCTCATACCTATTCATCCTTAATTCTCCATCCCACTCAAACCAAATGTAAAAACCATCCATTTGAACAACTATAATACTCTAAGTTCCATTTGTTCCTATTCAAATGAAAGTCGACACACCAAAATTCCATCATCTTTTTCATGAAAATTGAATCATTTCTAGTATTAAGCCAAAGTTATCTTTCTTGTCCAATTACTTAAATGCCATGCAATACATTACAATTTTTCAATTAATCAAGATATCTACCTATCCATTGTCTCTGCTCCATCTTGAAACATTTATCTCTCTCAAAAACTTTATATCCTTATTTTTTAATGACAATTTTGCTAAAATCTTGTACTAAGTAAATAAAAGTTTATATAATAAACACTAAAAAAGAAGTTATCTATAAAAATGAGATTAAAATTAAAATCTCTCTACTTATCAAAGCGCCTTAAATTATTCTTCCCTCTAAATCTTTTAATTAATTTTTCTGAATCTTATACCCTATTTTAATTACTCCTGTAAAAGATACACCCAATCCTTATTCCTTATACAAGTAATCTGTGCTCTCCAACTAAAATATATTCATTAATATATAAGTCTGAAAATATCTTTATAATATCAACGGTTTCTTCAATTATAACTCTTACTAATCACAATTCAACATCTAAAAAATTTCATGTAAAATATTTTTATTTAAATATAGTGTGGAAATTCTTTGAAATTTATGTTATGTTATTGTAAAAATATAATTTATAATAAACTACATCACAGAACTCAACAGATGATTATTATCAAAGGGATAATCTTCATTATTTGGTCAACAATTCATTTTGTAAATATATTAACATTATTTTATATATTTTGATTAATAATTGTCATTCTTCTCTATACTTTCTAATTTATATTTCTTTAGATTAATCATCTCAAGTAATTAAATATTCTCCATCATCACTCAATTAACCAATTAATATACCACTTATTAAATTGAATAGATTACTCAATTTTTAATTCCTCTTTTTCTGTCTTTCTTATAAAATTGACATATTTATCATGTTTACTCACTAATATCTATTTTTATTTAATAAATTATTATGGAAATAATAAGCAACCATCATTACCTTAATTTACAGTAATATATTTTGTCTTAGTGAACTATTTACTTACACTATTCATCTCATAGACATGCATTAAATTGCCATATTAAGGTTGAAATGTAAATAGATTATTGTTGATAAAGCATAATCTCCATCCATTACAATCAACATTTATATTTTATATAACAATCCACCTTTTACTTTATTCAGAATATTCAATTACTAATATTTTACCATCACTTCCACAAGAAATAACTTTATCTTGTTAATCATTTAAACTTATTTCCATTAATTGTTTATGAGGAATTCCATTAATAATTATTATTTCTTGACCAAATCACAATAGATCCATCAGAATGTCCAGATATCAATTAATTTGATTATTTCATGAAATTTAAAGTGTATACATTTTGACTATTTACATTTAAGACTTGAATTTATTTCATCATTTCTTATTTAAATTCTTATATTTTTATTTATTTATAATTACAACCAATAGCTACAATTGAAATATCTTTATTAATTGCAATACAACGACAATCTTATTATTATTTAATTGAATTTTTTGAAATTATTAATAATTAAATGGTTTAAGATTGAATTAAGATTTAATTGATTATTATGATGATTCTAATAATGATGTTTAATTTTATTAATGTGATTATAATTTGAATTAAACTTAATGTTTGATTTTTGAATTGATTAATCGTTTAAGTTCTTAAAGAATATTTGATTAAAATTGAGATTAATCAATTAAATGGAATTAATTAAGTTTTGGTAAAGATAATTCCAATTTAGTATTGTTAAACTTACAAATTGGAGAATCTATAATCAATAATTAATCAATCAAATTATTTATTTTATCAAATGATTACTAAAAACAAATTATATTAAATTAATACATCTAAATCTTAATCTAATTCTTTCATATGATATTCTAATTTTCTATTTATTATTTCTTTTTATGACATTTTTTTTCTATTTCTTTTAAATTATTAATTAAATTATTTTTAATGAATTTAGGATAAGAAGGGTAAATAAAATTTTTCCTTTTTGCTTGAATATTAATTTGACGATTATTTAGTTCTTAGATTAAAAAAAGAATATTTTAACAATGATCCTTACTTAATATTATAAAGATGTTTTGAAATTTGAAAATAAACAAAAATACTTAATAAGAAAGAAATTAGACTAATAAACCTGGCATATTAATAGCAGATAATTAAATATGGATTAAAGGAATGAGGGAAATGATTGAGATTAAATATTATAAAGCATACTGTTCAGATTTTTAAAGATTGAAGCAAGACTGTTAAGATGCAAATGTTAAAATAATAAAGTATACAAAAATCAAGATACTTCCATTTTAAACTTAGGTGTGAAATGATATTGCCTTTAAAAATCGCCTTATAAGTAAGCGTATAATAATATACTTTGAAATGATTATTAAGTGATTCTAAATATATATATAGACTTTATGCCTTTTTTATATAACTAAAAAATTTTTTTTACTAGTGGTTAGTGTACAAACCAAAAAAAAAATATCTAAATGCATTGATATTATGGAAAAGATAATGTTGAATTATTATATTTGGATCTTTTCATTATTTCTTTAAGAGCAAAGAGAATAGAAAATATCATTAGATTTAGTATAAAAAATAATTTCTTCAGATTTTTATTCTAATCTACCATTTTCCATGGATATATTAATTTATCACTTTTTATTAAAATGATTGAATTTTAGAATTCTGTACTGTAATATTCTCTCCTCAATTTTTTGATGTCTATTAATTTATTTTGAGACAAAATTTGAAATCAATCTCATTCTAAATCTATAAGCTTTGATTAATAAGGGAATAAGAAGGTATTAACATCAAAATCTTTAATTATTTATTTTGGCTTGAAGAATCTAATTGAGAATTTTTGTAAGGCTAAGTTCTGGCTAATCACTTAGCATTAAACCAAAAGAATCTATATTTAAAATAATTTAATCTATGCTAGTTGTGGAAGGATTAGTGATTGGTATATCTCCTTT